TTCTGAGGCTGTAAAATCTTTATGGGAGCAGAAAGCCTCATCTTTCTCCCCAGAGCGGCTGGTGGCTTCAAATCCATAACCGACTAGATCACCAGTGCTCCCACGATCTCCCATGGTATTGTTGTTGTTAAGTGTCATTGTGTCAGTTCCGACCCATAGGAACCCTGTACAGGGTTTCAAGCATGTGCTGCTCAGTTTGAACTGCTGACCGAGTGCTTAGCAGTCCAGTGCTTATCCTCTGGCACCACACCAGGGCTCTGACAGCTCAGGGATTATGGAAGGTTGGTGTGTGTGCTGGGAGCTAGATCTCACTTCCTGGCGCCCTCAAAGCCACGCATTACCTTTGCCCACAAAGTAGTCCTGATAGTAGCGGGCGCCGAGGTCCACGTGCTCGATGCTGTACTGCCGCGGGCGGCTCTGTGTTCTCTGCTGCTCCTTGGGTACCTCGAGCACCGAGATGCTGGCGTTGGTGCGGTAGGTGCTCAGGGTGGCCTCTGCCAGGCGGTCGTCGCTGCCGCTCGGGGAGCCCACGGAGGCACGGGAGAAGCTCACGTTGCGCTCGCACTCGCCTCCCATCTCGTTGCGGAAGTGTGGGCAGCTAAGCAGCAGGTCATTACTGTTGTCATCGCCAAGGTCCTGCTCCAGGTTCTCTTTGCAGTTCAGATCCTCGGTGCTGGTGAAGGCGGGGTCCAGACCCCCGAGCCCGTGGGCCCGCGAGGCTGTGAGCGATGCCATGGCCGAGGCGGCAGAGGCCCCCGTGGTGGTGTTCCGACGCTGAGCCACAGACACCTTGTTGGCAGCCGCCTCGTTCAGGTCGAACAGCATGCTCTGTACGTCAAAGTGGGAGAAGCTCTTTTGGCAGACCCATGGCCTGCTGGCCTCCGGGGGGCTTCGGCCCTCCTCGGCCTCTCCTAGGGGACGCCCAGCATCCACCTCTGGCTTACTGTTCCTCAACTTCCGGAAGATGGACGAGTCCACCGCGTCCCCACCACCGAGGCCCCGCACCGGTTTCTTCCGGGCCTTTTCCTTCAAGGGCTGAAGCGGGAGGAGGCTGTCCTTGGGGGCCTGCCCGTTACGGGGGTCCCCCTTGGCGCCGTTGCTGCCTGCGAGGTGCAGGGCGGGCTCCAACTGCAGGAGCTCCGTGAGGTTCTGGGAGCCTCGGGGCTCCGGCTGCTCGTTTCGGAACTCATTGAGGATGTCGAAGAAGCTCTGCTCGGGCACGCCCTGCACGTCAATGGACGACGTGCTCCCGTACTCCCGAAAAAGAGGCAGAGCCCCCGCATGCCGGGCCCCCCGCGCCTCCCCGGTGTCCTCGACATCACACTCGCTGAGCGTGATCTCGCTGCTGCTGCGGTACCGCAGGGGGAGGAAGGCGCGGCCAGGGGACCTGGGCCACCCGTCCTGAAACTCCACATCTTTGGACCTTCTTCTGGAGAGTCTGTGGAAGGCTTTGGGCCCTGAGGAAGCTAGGGTGCTGGTGGGGGGCTGTCCATTCTGTAGGTTCCTCAGGGAATGGGTTGCCTTGGCAGTCTTGGTGCTGTCTGCATCCTGAGAGGGGCTGGGGTTGTTCTGTTCTCTCAGAGCCTCTCGCTTGGGGGGCCAGTCGGCCACCCTGGCGCGCACTCCCATCTTAGGCATGGCCGGGGTGGTGGGGCTGGGGCGGGTGGTGGCGGTGGCTGGGCTCTCACCCTGAGACATGCTGCCATTCTGGACCCAGAATCCCATGGGAGCATAGTCCCCTGTGTGTGGCCCGGGAAGGACATCGGCCCCTCTGGCCCCACAGCTGGTTGCCAGGTCCACGCCATCATTGGGAATGGGTCGATACGTGGTCATAGTCCACGGGCACTGGAGGGCTGCTGGCTGGCGTGCGCTGGGGTTCACTCTATGGGGTCCCCCAGGCCTCAGCCATTGTTCAGGGCTGCCAGTCCCCAGATGAAGGACGAAAGCCCCTGAGACCTGACAGGAAAGTTGTGAGCCTGTGGAGTCCAGTTCTCCACCATCGCTGTGCTTCACTGAGCCAGAACAACTTTAGGAGGCGGGTGCTGTCCTGGGGGCTCCAGACTCAGGGGGCTCAGGACAGCAGAGCCAGCAGTAGGTGCTGTTGTGGGCTGGTTGGGTGCAGAGTTATCCTTCCGGCCATGCTGCAAAGGGGGGAGAGAAAGGACAATGTAAGATGTGATAACCCTGCTCCCGCTCCCAGATGATCCAAATCAGGACTGCGTTCATCAGTCCTTCAACATTTCTATCTATCTATCTATCTATCTATCTATCTATCTATCTATCATCTATCTATCTATCTATCTATCTATCTATCTATCATCTATCTATCTATCATCTATCTATCTATCATCTATCTATCTATCTATCTTAAATGATGGAAATTTCAGACCACTCAAAAGGAGCTGGAAGAGTATGATGAAGTCTTCATGTTAACCCATCACCAGCAATCCAGTTCCAGAACATTTCTATCACCTACCTCCTCTCAAAACCCTCTATCTTGTCTGTTGTTGCTGTCGTTAAGTGCTGTCGAGTGGGTTCTGACTCGGACCCTGTGCAGGGTTTCTGAGGAGCAGACAGAAAAAGTTTGAAGTGCCAACCTTGAAGTTCAAACCAACCTTGCGGTCCAGTTTGGTTTCTCCTGCAGCGTCACACCAAGACTCTCAACCTCCCAGTTTTCCCCTCCTGCCAGAGGTTTAAAAAGTAAATCCCAGACCTTTAACTATTTTAGCTTGTTATCTCTAATAGATAAGGTCTTCAAAGTCATCATTATCATCATACTCATCAAAAGTAGCAAGAGTTCTTTAATGCTGCTAATGCCCTGTCTGCGTTACCATTTCCCCCACTGTCTCAGAGCTGTTTTTTTTAGAGTGAACTTGCTCAAACCAGGATCCAAACAAGAGTCAGATGCTGCCCTGGTGGATGTATTTCTTAAGTTTTCTCTACTCTGTCTCAACCGTCTTCCCACTAACTTGATGCCATTTACTTGAAGGAAATGAGGTCCCTTGTCCTGCGGTGTTTTCTGGACCTGGCTGGCTGGTATAATGTGTGCAGCTACACCCTGTATTTCCTGTCAACTGGCGACTGTGTGTAGAGGCTAGGGTTCTTGTCCAGGGGGTCAACAGAGAGTCCAACCAGGCGCCCCACCAGAAAGGAAGTGAAGACGTTGGATGAGTCAACATGAGCACTAGACGGTGTTGGGAAGGGGAACCACAAGCAATGTGTCTAGAAATCTGTGATTAACCGATATGGTGGATGGGTAAATCCCACCCTGTCACTCCTTATGGCCCTAGATTACAACTCAAACTCCTCCTTCCAACCCACAAGCCCCTACAGGATGCTGCCCCTGCCAGCATCCCTGGAGTCTCTCCTCTCTCTAACTAAATTCCACTCACACTGGCCTTCTCTTCTGTTCTTCTGACAGCCAAACTCAACTCAGATTATCTGGGTCTCCTTTCTCCGCTCCTCACTAGGCCCATTCCTTCCCATGATGTCAACGTTTCTGTGAAGCCTTCCTCAGCCACCCTTCTATGGGCAGAAGTCCCCGTCTCCTTGAAACCTTTCTCTGTCACCTACTCTGCTTGCTTTACCGACTGTCTCCACCATTACGATGTCAATGCAATTCCAGAGATGTCTGTGCTGCTCACTGATACATGCCTAGCCCCGAGAACAGTGTCCAGGACATTCAATATAGATGATGGCCTTGGCCTGGCCAGCCGTGTGTGTGGAATTCATGCTGTGGCTTAGCAGTGAGGTGATCAGCCCCCTTTGTTTCTATCTCTAACTTCTGGAAGATGCAACCCCAACAGCCAGGCCTTTTCCTGCTCCTAACGGAACTGGTTTTGTTCAGAGAAGCAGAGGATCGGATTGGGATTGGCACCGGTTCAAGGAGACCAGTAACTTTTCTTTCTCTTGGAGTCTGGGGTCACTCTGGTCAGTGGTCTCAGTGCAGGGCAATGGGAGGCATCCTGTGGTGTATGTGGATGTAAGGGGGCGTTTCCTAACTCCTACCTACAGGCGCCAAGCGAGCTGGCAAAAGAGATGCCTTACGCAGGTTCTACACTGAGAGGATACAGCCTCTGAGGAATGAACACCAGAGAGGGAGGGGTGAGGCAAGGGTTAGGAGTAAGAGCACACCCTCTTCCCGGTTCCTTCCTGAAGACATGGCAGGGAGGCAGGGACAAAGAAGGGGTCAGAAACCAGGAAGTTGGAAGGAAGGGACACCAGGTAGGTTCTCTAGGAGAGGTAGGCAAGTGGCCTTGAGGGGACTGGCCAGCAGGGGACCTCTTCCCCAGAGCAGACAGATGCAGCCTGGCTCTGGGGACTGGGCTTGTGGGAATGCAGACGTCAGGTCATCGACTTTCCAAGAGATACCAGAAATGTAGGTTTGTATGCATTTCCCAATGTACAACTTCACTAATACCAAACTGTGATACAGAGATCTCCAGAAGGATCTGAAAGAACACGCTAGTAAGCGATTCTGGGGAAGGGAACTGTGGTCTTTCCCCACCACCCAGCCTCCTGCTTCACTTTCCTCCTTACCCATATGGATATACTCACTCATCACCGCCACCCCCCACCCCCACCCCTGTGACCCCAGTGTCTGACTGTGGGAAAACGAAAGGGAGGGAGGAACCTTACTCTCCACTGTGTGCCACTGGCTACCTTTTGAATGATTTGCCTGCATCTCTAGTCAACAAGTAACTACCTTCTAAGAACATCAACAACAGAACCACAATAAAGGTTAAGAAATACAGGGGGCTTCAAAAAATTCATGGAAGAATGGAATGAAAAGCGAAAGGAATTTTTCTGCAAACTGTTTTGAAGCCCCCTCATATATACATGGGCTGCAGTTGGGCAGGGGCCACGTCTCAGTGTTGCATGGCTCTGCCCCAGAAGAAGGCAGGAGCCCAAACCTGCACCCCGCTGGCCTGGGAAGGCTAGGCTGAAGGCACTGGCATCCTAGGGTCAGTCTGGGCTGAGCATGGAGGAAGGGTTGGTTCTTTGAGGGCACAGTTAGGGAAATAGGCAGCCCTCCCTCACAGGGCCCTGACTTGCTTATGGAGACACCTGCTGACAGATGGACTTTGCTGACTACATTCTGTTTCCAGCCCAGTTGGAAACCCCCAATCTAATTTGCTCCCCTCTGTGAAAATGCACAGATGTTCTCCCAAGGCCCGGGTCTCTGCACAGATCCATCCCTGAACAGGTGCAGCTGAGTCTCCCTGTAACATTTATGTGGGGTACAGCCCTGCCAGTCTCGCTAGGGTCCAGGGACTGGTGCACACGCACGGCCTCCTCTCCAGCTGCCTGCTATCAAGGTCTCCCTTCCTAACAGCACCTGCATCTTCCTGCTGGGAAGCCCCCGTTGTGAGCTGCGGAGTCAGAGTCTGTATGCAGGACCCAGCCTGCCTGGGCTCCAATTCTGATGTGCCGTACAGAAAAGACTCGGTGCCCATCTGTACAACGGGGGGATCCCACGCACAACGGACTGAAATGCTGCTCCGTTCCTGTGCCACCCCCACGACCCATTAGAGATCAGACCACTGTGACCCACAGGGCTTACTTTTATTGGCCTCTCTTCCCTGACCACACTCTCTGCTAGTATTACCACGATGTTATGTTATCTTTGGCAGAAGCCACCCCCCACCCCAATTACAGAAGTGACCCAGTCAGGAGTGGGCATGGGGCTTAGGCTAAAGCAACTGCGTTCTCTCTTTTGGGACTCTGCACCAGGGCCTAAGAGCACATAAGGCTATGGAGTATCCCCTGCAGTGGCAGGTGACAGGTGGACTTGGCTTTCTCTGTGGTACCCCTTCTGCTGGGGACCCTTGGTTCCTTTCCTGCAGTGCCTCCCTGGTTCCTGCCCCTTTTGTTCCTCTGGCCTTCTGATGATTCTGTAAGGCAAGATAGCCAAGCTCTGCTTCTGCGGCCGGCATCTGAGGACCTTGGCGAACGCACCGTGCCGTATGTACGGATGGCAGCTGGTGAACTGTGGATGGGCACAAATAGGGCAGCACAATGAGAAGTAAGCTGGGGTGGTACAGCCAGTTGGGAATGCATTTGCCTTCAAGTAACTGAATACCATCCAAGGGCACATCAGGTAATACACATTCAATTAGCTCTGTGAGCAGGAGGCCAGATACCATGGCTCCAGGCTGTGCTCAGGCCCCTTCTCTCTTATTCCTGTCTGCAGCCCTCACGGGAGACTGGCTTGTATCTTCCTCTTACTGCCTCAGAGTCACAAAATGGCAGCCACAGCCTACTTCTCACCGACTCGTGGGCAAGGGGGGAAAGGAAGGAGTGATGGACGAGTGTGCTACTCATCTGTCTGATGTAATCAGGAAGAAACAGCTTTTCCAGAACTTCCTTGCCCCTCAAGCAGACTTTCTTTTATGTACTCACTGGCCAGAAATGGGTCACATTGGCCACCCCAGCTGAAAGGGAGGCTGGGAAGGCCAGAATCTGTGGTGGTTCTGATTGGTTTGCCCTCAGGCCAGTAATTCCTGAGGCTGGGCACATTGCTTCCCAGACACAGTCCAGGTCTGTTGGAAGGACAGGTGACCAGCAAGCAGTGCACAGGTGTGGGATGCTCCCAAGCTGTCACTGTGAAGGAGTAATGTGCTCTAAGCTGAGAGGCTGGGACAGTGGACCAGCAGGTAAGCAACCTGACCTCAGTGTCCTGGCTCCCAAGTACCCTGCTCTGTTGGGTCACACTGTCTCCCAGAATCCCCCAGGGGAAGTGACCCCTGGAAACCTACCCTCTCTGACTCCTATACAATGGGCTACAGATGGGAAGGTGGGGGTGTCCTTCCCTGGATTGGGACAAACCATGTGGTCTGATCAGAACTCAGGAGACCCCGTGAGATTTCCCCCAGGAGTGCTGGAACTGAAGGCTATGCGGTCCCCAAGTCTAAGAGGAGGTGAAGGATGGAGTCATTGAAGTCACCTTGTAACCAGCCGGGAAGACACCTGGCTGTGAAGATGCCTGGGAATTGGCGAGGATCTGAGGGCTGTTGTCATTATTTACAACTCTACATCAAGGCAGAGCCCAAGGCGGCCCCATTCCACTGCCTCACCCTGGACATTCACACCATA